GCTGCGAGAGTAGGGGACCATGGCAACTCTGGTCTTCTCAGTACTCAGGACTTTGCCTGAAGTTACTCTGAAACTTAGTGCATTTCGGTGTAGAGTACTGAAGACGCTTAAGACCACGAGTTCTTGTGCTCCAACCAGTTGATTTACCCGATTTGGAACTCCCCTCCCCCCTAGGCTCACATCAGTCAAAAGTCCTACTCATGGCTCAGAACAGTTCGGACATTCCAAGACTCGCTATCACCCCTGACCTTACAGAGATCCCACCCCTTTACCTTACAGGAGTACCGCAGTAGTTTCTCCGCGAAAATAGAAGCGGTGTTCAAAAAGGGCCATTTTCAAGTGACCTCCTTCCTATACGAACTTTTCTGCAGTTTCGCCGCATGTCACCTTATGAACAAGCGCCGACGGACACTCTGCGACGATCTATCATCATCCTTCCCATCCCTAATATTGATCGCACTTCTTCCCCGAATTAGCTCAGGCTAGAACTGGAAATTCGGGGTTCCAAGTTGGACAATTTTTTGCTTTTCCATCATTTTTTATAACTGCTTACAACTGATTGTCGAAAGAGATCATTTTTCGTCAAGGCTAAACCGCTTTGTGAAAAGGTTCCACAAGCAGGGTACGTTGTACGTTGGGTATCGCCAGCGAGGGGAAAGGGGGGGGGGGTCGTAACTGGGTCGTTGGAGGAGGGTCGTAATTGTTTTCAAGAGAATTTGCGTTTGTTAACTTTTCTAGATTTTTCCCGTGTCGCGTGCGCTTACACCCCCTCCTCACAGTTCGTTCGATGGTAGCTTCTTTTATCTGGGGAATTTTGAGAAAAGGAGGAGAACTAAGGAAGTGGGGGGAATTTAGTGGAGGGGGGGGGTATACGGTCGCTCCGCAGATTTTTTCACGTAACGACAGGACGTGCCCTGTTTCGATAGCGCGCTAGACATCACAATAAATTTGCGCGCGAGGGAGTCCTGCAAGACGTATTGCAGCCACGAACTGCAAAGATTAGTCCTTTAGGCTCTCCGGCGCAGTTTGTCGACGGGGGGGCATTTTGCTTTCCATAGATGTGTCGACCCATCTAGGCAGCCGTTTCTCGAGTTGACACGTTTTAGGATAGTGGCTAGACGATCTTACTTCAGCTTCACAAGAGTTCACAAGTTTTACCAGAGTGAGATTTGTAAACCGGAACTAGGGAAGCAATGACACAAAAGCCCCCGTCGAGAAACAGCGCCAGGCTCTCCTGTTTATAGTTCCTGTTGAAACAACCAAATCCTTGGCCTTGATGAACCCGTCCTGATTATCAGGCCATCCACATTGCACTTTGAGCTGGCGCTACGTGATAATGCTTGCTGGCAGATTGAACAGGAATCGTTCTTCGTTGAGATCGATCATTTTTCTTATGAACGACGGCATGTTCAACATAATGGCGTTTGAATGCAGGACCGTAACGTTGAAATGGGGGAAGTTGCTAACATCCGGGTAACCCAGATGTGAGGGATTTCCACAACGTGTCCCCTCAGTTCATATTCCCAAAATATCTTGGGTGTTTTAGTATAGTGATGTGAGTGATGACGCGCACGTTGTCCTATTCCGTTACAAACCTGGATTGACTGGGAAGGGAGGTCCCGATCACGGCTACGGTATTCATTTTCGGCGGCAGCGCTATGTAGCGCTCTGGTGGGGTGGGGTTGTTGTGAACGGAGAAGTTAAAATTCAGCGATCAGCGATACGTTACATATTCGGTTTATTTTTGAGAGATTCGTTGCCCCTTCTAGAGCATGAGACATTTTCATATTTTCCATTTCACTGGCGCTACTTTCCTCCTCTGCCAAACACCTCCCCCCCTCTGACGGTAGTGACACTTCATATAAAGGCCACGGCGGGGGCGGCGGGAGCTCGACTGCTTGATTTGGTAATAATTCAATTCAGTTAAAGTGTAGTATGCACTAAATAGCAAAAAAAGCTATTACTCAGACGAACAGAGTTCATAGAATGAATTTTGGAAAACCGTGACCGCCCTGAAGTGGGCGGGGCAATGGGGCGGGGCTTGGAGCGGTACCTAGTGTGGGCTAGTTATCAACCGCGCAGTGTAAGGATTGTTTCCCATGCGATTTGGAAAGTGTCCGATTTGTTTTGAAAAGTGTCCGGTTTGGTCTGAAAATGTATGGTTCAAAATGAAAATGGTACAGAAGCGTTGTCCTTTAGTTTCAAGGAAAAAAAACTCAATGTACTCTCATTGTTGTGAATAACAGTCCCTCCGCTCTCTTTCTCTCGGCTTTTGTCAGTCTTTCTCAACGTGGTGATTACTTGTCGATGCTACATATAATTTTTCTCAGTTTTCTTCCTTTTCGTCTCTATAAACCATTTCTTATTCAGAATTTTCGCGAAGTTTTGTCCATTTTTTATTTGTTATAGTAGTCCATCAAACGAATAACTTATGCTACAGGTCCTGATGTGTTTAGGGAGCTTTGTAGAACAGCAATATATCCTACTTGAACCGTAACTCGCATTACTGTTTCCTTAAAGTGAAGTTGAAGTTTTTCAAATCTGCGGCCATCAAATGAGTTTATTCTAGTTGGAAGATGTTCTATAATTGCTACTCTATAACACTATAACAGACTACTAGATGATTAAGATACCGTAGTTGGATGGACAAAATCGTACAGGTTTTTTGAATCAACTCAGGGCGTCCATGAAATAGAGCGCTCCAATGAGAATGACTTAAAACTGGCGGGCGCGGGAAAATTTTTCGACGGCATCCGCTTTTACACTCTTGTGGACGCTGACTTTCGCTAGATCGATAGCTATATTTTCCTAGTCAATGACGATGACGAGCGCTAGTGGTCGCTGGTGTACGTTTCCGCAAAGTATAAACGCACTCTTATTCTTCGCCGTTCTTAAGAAATATGGTTTACTTTCGAATATGCTTGACAGTGTTTCGTTCATAGTGTCATTTTTTATTAGTCGCTGGTGCCTTTGAATTCAATTTCGCTCTTTCCTTCGAGTAACCTTTTTTAGTTTTCCTAGAGAAAATTTTTTGTTTTCAGGTAAACCTTCGGCGCGAGTAGATTAGCAGCCGAACAATGGAATCATGGCTCGACCCCAATAGTAGATGGCACGATGTTATTGTTGCACTCGTCTGGGTATGTTGTTGTGTCTTCATCTGGTTTTATCATGTGAAATCAAAAGGGTAAACGTCACGGTGGAAAGATTTTCGGGGGAGTTGTTCATTCTCACTAGTTCGTCGACCAATGCAGGCGTGCTTTGCAAGTCTGCTTAAACCCTTCTCCGCCTACTATCATCTAATTATATCTAGTTCTTTTGTAGTATGTGGTTATACTATACATACAAAATATATTGTAATTGTAAGTTAGTTTGGTGAAATCTCCCCCCCCCCTTCCCTGATTTGGTATTCAGCAAGAAATTTCCATTTTCAGATTATTGGCTCATTCATATTCTTCCGCGTATTACAATACGTTGTACGATGGTATCTATTTGGAAAGTGCACCTTCCGGGCGTTCTCGTACTTTGGGCTCAGTGGACGGAATCGGAATAGGGACAGCAGTAGGGATTTAACAGTAAGTTTCAATGAGTTGAAGTTTGGCTGCGTTCACACCTTACGGTTGACCTCCTCGGCGGCTTTGCTGCGTAGAGTAGATACGTATCGATCCAACGTGATTGACGTGACCAACGTCGGATCGATACGTATCTAATCTTCTGAGCGCAGTCGCCGGTTACGTCACTCGCGTCGGTTACGTCGACTACGTCGAATCAATACGTATCTCAATTACGTCGAGAATTTCTCAGTTTCGGCGCGTGATAGCAAAGTATGAACGCAGCCTTATGTGATCTACTTGATACTGTTTTATATCATCGTATTATTGCCAGGTTATTCCTCCAAACAAGAAATGGCGGATATCAAATGAATCTGTATCGCTTATTCACTCAGTGGTTAGCGGTCTGTGGGCCGCTTACTGTCTTTTGTTCTATAAACGTTTAGTTGACGATCTAATCAACGATCGGACCCAAATAGCTCTTGATTTGGTGAGTACTTATCATTTCTTTTCCATGTCTTGATCTTTGTTGTGTTTTTGAACAAGTTGTGTGCACCTGCGATGTCGACTGGGAAACCCACGTTGCGGCGACGCGGCGAGTGTAAACTCCTTCAATCGCACCAAATTTCTGTTTTTCTCTGCGCTCTCACATCTATATGACATTCCATGCACACTGTGACGTTAAACATTCCGACTTTTTGCACTGCAATGAAAGGTTCCTCCTTCTGTATAGTATCTTTCCCTCGGAAGAGAGCTCATCTTTCGGACTCGCGATCATGTTGGCACTCTTTCGGCGCCTGGCAGCGCGCAAGTCCTTCTGCCTATCTCGGCGCTCTGGCTTTTCACGCCTAGGGACCCACAATTGTTTTAGCTGTGTAACCGAATCGTACTGGGAGATGGATACCGTACCCGTAGTAGACGTTGTTGACGTCGGATCGATACCTATTTAATGATCTGGGCCTTATGTGATCGTTCGATGGATCACGGATCGCGAAGTATCAACGCGAAATATCGATATGTATACATTCTTTTCAACATAATGCCGAATCATCAGAGTCGTAACGTATGACCACAGCCCTAGATATACTAAGATACTGACGTAATTCGGCACGCGGTTATCTCACATATTTCTTTGTGACTATGTTTTGTGGGACCCGGCAGCCACTCTGCTCGTCTGCGCTCGGCGAGGCCAGTGCATGAAGAGGGGAAGGAACGTAGAGGGCTGTCGCGTTGCACCATCCTCGCTTTTGCGCGAATTACGCCTGTGCCCAAGTGGATTTCCCGAGCGGCAGAAAAAGAGATAAGACGGTGATAAAACAACTGTTCTGTTTTCGCTTTTTTTAAGTGAGTGATATTCGTCAACTTACAATGTGCATATTCAGATCTTCGTTTCTTTCGGTTACCTACTGCACGACTTCATAGACCTAGTAGTGAATGAGCAATCTGCTCGCATTATTGAGTTGCTTTTCCATCATGTTGTGGTTATAACAGGATTCGTAGTCACTTTGGTAAGTACTTTGCCATTTCTTGATACTATCTGAGTAAGGCTTCGTAAAGAGTTCAATAGGGGTTAGCGGTGGGAGTTCCCTGTCCTTTACATGGTTTTGCATAATCTTGCTTTGTAATAGTCAGTAGAAATCTTTATTGACAACGTTTGGGCGCTTTAGCAAAAAGTGGCAGCAAGCTTCCCTTCTAGAGTTTTACGTTGTATGTCTTTTCTGGTTGGGAAGGATGAGGGACTTCTTAAAACTTTCTCTCCTGGTGAGTACGACTCCCTCCCCACACCCAACGGCGCTCGCTACCACATATGGTCTTATTCCCTGCTTCCCTGCGTATTCGAGAAGGTTTTAGGAGGGCTGGGTTGGGCACTACCCCTGTTCTTTACCAAGTGTTGAAGACAGGGTACAGCATCGTGGTCGTTGTGTGAAACACATAGGGGGTCGTACTTTTTCTCTGGGGAGGGGGGGTCGTATTTGGTCGTTGGGAGAGGGGGGTCGTATGTGCCTTTGAGAGAAATTTGTCGCGTTGGTTTTCCGGTTGTTGACTTTTTGCGTGATTTTTCCTGTTTCATGTGCACTATATACCACCCCCCCCCGTTCAACGGAAAACTGGGTGGAAAAAACTCTAAAATGGGGGAAATTTGTAGGTAGGTGTTGGGGAAGGTGGAAGGGGATCGTACTTACACCACCACCTCACACAACACGATGCTGTACCCTGGTTGAAGAGGCAGGCGACAACTATTGGTGGAAATTGGGCTGGCGCTACGTCAGCAGTCCCCCTAAGGCGTCTCCAGCGAGCAAGACTGTAGCGCTTATGTGCACGTTCCAGGCATATATATTTTCTTACGGCCACTGGATTTTTGAAAACAAGTCATTCCACACGCAGAACTATTTAATAACTAAACAGCATTATATTAGTAAGCTATGTTTCAGGTTACTCACAAATACCTCGGAGTGGTGATATTCGGTCTTCTAATGGAACTAAATTCTATTTTTCTGCATACGAGAAGTTTATTAAATTTGTGAGTTCTGCTCTATTTTTCCCATTCAAATCTTTCAAGATGAAGATGCTTTTAGAAGAAAGTATGCGCTAGTAGGTAGAGGAGGTATTTACACGCTCTTTATGCCGAGCTCTTGGTCATCATATATGGACCTTTCCCTCGAAATAGAGTCAACCTGTTTGGGAGCTACTTCCCTCAAGAAGTCCTCGTCTCAGTGACGTCAGTCCCTGCTCTGCACAGCTTCCTTTATGGCGCGTTCATGCTTCGCGACTGAAGAGATTTGGCGATTAGAGAGATTGCGCGACGAGGAGCAATGGAGATTGTGCGACGAGGAAAGTTCTAAGTTATCGATCTGGCGAAAATTGGGAGATTTGGCGTCCACCGCTTGAGTCGGCGAATCGGCGTTTAGGGAGATCCCCGATCGCCGCGATTTCTAGCGCTTGGCGCCTTTCAATATCCATCCACGCGCTTGGGCGCAAACGCTGAGCTCGTCGAGTCCACAAAATCGCTAAATCTTCTCATTCGCAAACTATGAATTCGGCCTCAAGTGCTCACCGTGCCCCACAACCCTTAGCCAACTTGTTCCTGAAACTGTATGGCAGCCCTGCTAATTTTATAAGTTGTGGATTGAATACTAGTAAATAGCTGCGACCAGCAAAGTTAATTGAAATATGTGTAATACAAGTACATTTTGCTCATACCTCGCGTTCAGATACGGCATCAAAAAGAAGTCGACGTCATTTCGCCTAGTGGCTCTATTGAATATCATCACACTAGCTGTTTTCCGCATCAGCGTGTCTGTTTATTTAGTCTACTGGGCCGTGAGTTTTCTTATCCACTTTTCAAAAATTGCACTGTCATGACATGCAGTATTTATGTCTTTCTGTCGTTAACATAGTTGGGGATAGGGGGGGGCGAGGCACGGGGGACACGCCCAAGCGACGCGCTTTTACTGTTGACTATACCGAGAACGCAGGCATGTTGAAATCAGACCCTTGGGCAATACGATGGGTTGACGGTTGAAGCGCTTCCTAGCTCTGCGCTCCACGTTGCGGATCCGTGAACTTCAGTCGCCTCGAACGATTAGATCGCAGCGAATCAAACGATCGAATAGGTCTGTAAACGCGCTTTAACCGCAGTGTTTGGGCCCTAAGATGATGTGCTAACATATTCGTCTCTTCCACATTAGGTTCAGTGTGAGATTTCAGATAATGCAAGTGCCCCTTATTCCGTGGTTGCATAGCGTTTTCTGCATATTCGTGATTTTCTCCTTGTTCATCTCGAACGCAGTTCTTACGTACAGAGTGATGGCAGCTGATGGTCTTTTCGGTAAGACGCTAACATTTTTCAATTCATATGTGTTACTCGTTTGATTGCGTTTGCCTTATCCGTCATTTGTAGGAGCTGCACGAGCTCGCAAACCACCATTGGCACCTGTTGCGTGCGCCTCAGCTGATCTCGAAGCGGGTGAACGAAATGATGCCGAAGCTGAAGACGAGGATGATGAGGTATCTGATTGTTAAGCCAGAAACCTAGAACTGATTGACGAATCCAGCGTAATGGGGGCACGATTTCACAACAAACGAAATAGAATGTTGTTAGTGTGTATGATGTAAAGGATGGGAAGTGTAGGCGATATGAAGCAGGACCAATGCTCGGGTGCCGCCAGAGACTTCGTCGTTCCATTTTAACGAATTGAATTTCTCAAAACTTTGTCAGCATCAGGAAGTTCTGTCACGGAAATTGTTGAGGAATTCCATTTTCTGACGACTGACCGTGTTTTCCAGTCTTTCTTATCAAAATCCTTTTCTTTCGGCCTATCCCCCAGAGCCCATCAATTACGCTACCACGTTTGAAACTTATTCTCGTTGCAGCTGTTGTAACCGTTCGCACTGTCCATGGATAGCCTTGCTGTGGACAGATAGCGCACTCGACGGGTAAGCGTAACGGTGTTGATCGGAGTCCAGAATTTTGAAGATCACTGCGATGTGGCTTGCCGCTGCCACTTCTGATATTGGACCTGTTTTCAAAGTTCCTAGTGCTTTGGGAACAACATAGGTGTTTTCGAGAGTTGTAAGAAGAGAAACGGAAAAAAACGAAGGAACACTCAGACACGTGTTTTTTTTCCAACGGATTGCAAAGCATTAGAAACTTTGAAAACCGGTCCAATATCAGAGTAGCAGCGGCATGTCGTATCGCACCAAAATTCTGTCCCTGTAACTAATCTAATCAACAAACTTTATTTTTTGGAATAGCATTTTGAGGCGTACTTTATTTGAGCAAACAAAGTTTTCATGTGCAATTTAAAAATTGTATGTAAAACTATTAAAAAGCGCGCGACTTGGGCTTGGTTCCTAGTTTTTTACCGCTACTGTAGCTAGGAAAGCTGCCTTGCGCGCGATGTCACTATTTGGGTCTCTGGAACTGCACCCAATACTTGTCTAATTAAGATGGATGCTCTATGAATTGTATTGAATTGAATTCTTTTTCGACAATCATTATTACTACTAATGGTTTTTCCTCTTAGGATGGCCAGCACGAGGTTGCTGTGCAAACTACAGAAGCTCGTACTCTTGTCGATGACGTCACTCAAACGGTTGCTTGAAGCTGTGGTCGTTGTTTTGGTTTGGTCACGGAGCTTACGCGATGCTCATCTGTCTGCCTTAAGTTCTAGCATGTTTCTAAACCACAGCATTCGAACATACTTTACTACGTTTTTGAAGAGTTTTTCATTTATGTAGAGGCCATTTATTATTCTTTTGCATTTGAACACCCGAACATTTCTTCTCCCCTTTCTCGTATCGATTTAAAAGATTACGGGGTTGTGAAGTCATTTGTTTTCTCAGCTCTGTGTTGTTTTTCAGTTTCTCATTTCACTTTTTCCGAATACTCGCACATTACATTTTCTTGCCTGCTTTATCCTCCCTCCCCTATGTCGTTCTAAAAGAATGATATATTGAATGATCTGTTGTTGTTTGTTTTGCTTTCTTAAGTCATTGTTTTGTGTTTTGCAATAACTCGGATCGATTTCTGTGTCTAATTTAATATCGTGTTAATCTATGCTATTGCGCATTTACAATAATAAAGCAGATTTCATTCCATATTACTTTTTTGACATAGCAATAAGAGATGGTCAGGAATCGTATTCCGCCGCGTCGCACGCGACGCTTCGCGCGACAATGGGCGTACCATTTCATTCAGGCCAGCGTTCAGCAATTGCAACAGGCTATAGATCCGAACGCAGCCGCAGACGGGAAATGAGTGGTGGCGCCCACATGTGAATTGAAAGAGAATATGGGAGAACAGGAGGATCAAGTTGAGACACTACAATCTCGTTCGATCGGCACTGGCCGCTGGTGTCTTTGGGAGGGTATATAAGAAAAGAGCACACCAGATCGTGTGATGGTAGCACCTGCCCTGAAGGTGAGCGTGTCCACAGCTGCAGCACTGTGCCACTTTCTCCGCTCAAAAGGGCTCGGGAACGGAGCTTGAGGGCAGTGATACTCGGAGAAAGTCACCCAACTCCGCCCCGCTAGCACACGGCCAGCCCCACGGGCCTAACCATAGCCGGACGTGCTTGTCTGCTTTCTCTGTGTGCTCTCTTGCTTGTGGCGGTTCTCTTCTGATAAGGCAGCGTTCAGACTTGTCGCGCTGTAATGCACCAGACCCCAGCTTCCCTTTATGTTCATTCTTCCGGTATTCAACCCCTTTTTCATTGTTTCTAATTTCTATTAGGTTGTCCGGAAAGTTCTTAGCGTAGGCTTTTTTGCCTGGTCCTGATTGATGAAGTATTTTCCAGCAAGGGAGTTCTGAAAATGTTAGAAAAGGTGATAGTCGGTTGGCGAAAGGTCTGAAGAATATGGCGGTTGAGGTAGAACTTCAACCCCCAATTCG